CTATTTAGATCTATAGCATTCTATTTAGATCAATAACATATTTAGTTCTATAGAATTTCATTTAGTTCTATAGCATTCTATTTAGACCTATCTCATTCTATTTAGATCAATAACATTATATTTAGTTCTGTAGCATTCTATTTAGATCTATAGCATTCTATTTAGTTCTATAGCATTCTATTTAGATCTATAGAATTCTATTCAGATCAATAACATATTTAGTTCTATAGAATTCTATTTAGATATATAGCATTCTATTCAGATCTATAGCATTATATTTAGTTCTTTAGCATTCTATTTAGATCTATGGTATTCTATTTAGATCTATAGCATTATATTTAGTTCTATAGCATTCTATTTAGATCTATAGCATTCTATTTTAGTCTATATAATTATATTTAGATCTATAACATTCCATTTAGATCTATATGATTATATTTAGTTCTATGGCATTCTATTTAGTTATATGGCATTCCATTTAGATCTATAGCATTCTATTTAGATCTATATCATTCTATTTAGTTGTATAGCATTCTATTTAATCTATAGCATTCTATTTACATCTATAGCATTCTATTTAGATCAAAAACATTATATTTAGTTCTATATAGTTATATAGCATTCTATTTAGTTCTATATCATTCTATTTATATGTATAGCATTCTATTTAGATCTATAGCATAATATTTAGATCTATAGCATTCCATTTAGATCTATAGCATTATATTTAGGTCTATAACATTCTATTTAGATCTATAGCATTCTATTTAGATCTATAACATTACATTTAGTTCTGTAGCATTCTGTTTAGATCTATAGCATTCTATTTAGTTCCATACCATTCTATTTAGATCTATAGCATTCTATTTAGTTCTATTTCATTCTATTTAGACCTCTCATTCTATTTAGATCAATGACATTATATTTAGTTCTGTAGCATTCTATTTAGATCTATAGTATTCTATTTAGTTCTATAGCATTCTATTTAGATCTATAGCATTCTATTTAGATCAATAACATATTTAGTTATATAGAATTCTATTTAGTTCTATAGCATTCTATTTAGACCTATCTCATTCTATTTACATCAATAACATTCTATTTAGTTCTGTAGCATTCTATTTAGATCTATAGCATTCTATTTAGTTCTATAGCATTCTATTTAGATCTATAGAATTCTATTCAGATCAATAACATATTTAGTTCTATAGAATTCTATTTAGATATATAGCATTCTATTCAGATCTATAGCATTATATTTAGATCTATAGCATTCTATTTAGATCTATGGCATTCTATTTAGATCTATAGCATTCTATTCAGATCTATAGCATTATATTTAGTTCTATAGCATTCTATTTAGATCTATAGCATTCTATTTTAGTCTATATAATTATATTTAGATCTATAACATTCCATTTAGATCTATAGGATTATATTTAGTTCTATAGCATTCTATTTAGTTATATGACATTCTATTTAGATCTATAGCATTCTATTTAGATCTATATCATTCTATTTAGTTATATAGCATTCTATTTAGATCTATAGCATTCTATTTAGATCAAAAACATTATATTTAGTTCTATATAGTTATATAGCATTCTATTTAGTTCTATATCATTCTATTTATATGTATAGCATTCTATTTAGATCTATAGCATAATATTTAGATCTATAGCATTCCATTTAGATCTATAGCATTATAGTTAGGTCTATAGCATTCTATTTAGATCTATAGCATTCTATTTACTTCTATAGCATTCTATTTAGTTCTATATAATTCTATTTAGACCTTTAGTAGTCTATTTCGATCTATAGCATGAATATAGCGCATGAATGCAGTGATCTCGACTTCTGCACACTGACGAATGCTTTCATCATAACTAACAGTACAAAGACAATGTAAATAAGAGATTTGTTGATTTATAACCAAAAAGTATAGATTAAAGGGACTTTGTAATAACGGGAGTTTTGGCGAGAGTCCAGAACTCAGTCACTGATAAACTCGCGCTGTGTGATTGACAGCTCCAGCGATTGTAAAAGGGAGCGTTGTTTGATCACTCTCTATATAATTTAATCACAGTTTAAAATAACTGATTATTTTCATTCTAAGAGAAACAATGTGAAGTTGACCATTTAGTCATTGGTTTGATTTACTGACACATATTAGAAATCACTGGTCACAAATCAGGCATTAAAACTGTCACATGTTGTGGCAATATTGTCAATATCATAAAAAAGTCTGTTTCCAAACCTGCGCCGAAATTGCGACTGATTTACCAAAGATTCCACTGTGAAATGTGCTGTGCTGAATGCAAATAAATAATGCTCAACTGAGACATTCACATGAGACATACATTTAACCATGTGTTATTGGCGTCAAACCTTGTGTTATACGTTTTGGCATGCCATGTTTGCAGATTTTCAGCAAATTTTGGCTTAAATTTGCTAGTTCCTCCTCACACAAAGTTATTGCATGACTTCAGAAGATTTGTAATATAGTGCACAATTCATAAATCATTCTGAAAAACATTGTGGTTTTTTTATATATGGAAAAAATAGCAATAATGGCATGAGGGTGAGTAAATGAGTGAACTATCCAACCCGAGTCGTACGAATTCGACGCATGATTAAAAAGTGGCTAATTCGTAACAAATCATACGACCTCACTCGTACGAATTAATACGATTTTGCTAAATCGTACATATTTTACGAATTGGCCAATTCGTATGAATTCGTACGAATGACCTACCCCTGACCCCGCCCCTAAACCTAACCATCACGTGGGTTTAGACAAATCGTACGAATTAGTACGAGTGAGGTCGTACGAATTAGACACTTTTTAATCATGCGTCGAATTCGTACGAATTGGTCGTGAGATAGTGTTGAACTATCCCTTAAATATATACCGATACTTTAGTATGGAAATATGTGTACGAAAGAAGACCAGTCACGATTCAGTATGCAGATGTAGCGAAGCCATCATTACAGGACTGGATCATATTGCTGCTTCTACAGTACGTTCAGAATACCTGCCGTCCCGCTTCAGTGTCTTGCCACATGACTATCCCGTGTGCATGTGAGTGCAAAAGTCGATCCCATCCCATCTGTACCCCCTTCCTTTTCCCTTCAACTCCCAAACGGAAGCCATGGCGGCCATCACGGTGGGTGTCCGGTTCACAGGGTCCGCTCCTGCACCAGTACTCCCTCTGCTGGTCTAACGTGTGCATTGCCCTGTCCCCTGTGGTCCCCTGCTGTGTTGTGCTGACCTGCCGAAGGCATTAGAGTGTCTGCTGCAGCTGAATGAGGCTCGGGCCCACTATGAGGAGTTTTGCATCCCGCTCTGTATGCTGCCTGCAACCATTAGTAACAATGTCCCCGGCACTGACCTTAGTATCGGGGCAGATACGGCCCTCAATGCCATTGTGGAGGTAAGACAAAAAAAAAAAACTGATTCCTGTCTGCAAAGGGGACAATCTTAGGAAATATTACTTTTGGAATTTATATAATTATAATTTCAAAAGCAAACTGTACCAAGCCTGTTAGCATTCACGTTTTGGGGTTGAAATTGCTAAATGTCTTATAATGGTTTTAGCTTGCAAAAATCACACAGTCAGGACTCGTGCTGATGTGCTTAATGTTAGTATGTATTCCCATTCCCATAACAGAGTTGAACTTGGCCTGAACAGGCCAAAATAAGATCGATATACTGATAAACACTCATGCTTTGTTTGAGTGGCAACACTTTACAATACGGGCACACTAATAAGGATTAATTCTAATGCACAGAAAATACTGAATTAATGTGTAACTAATGATTATTTAAGCTTTTAATTAATGATTACCACATTAGGAACTAATTAAGAGTCTGTAATGTTAATGTATTAGTTCATACATGAATTGTTATTAATTAAATATGTAATTGTGGATTAATTCCTTAACTAATAGTGTTAATTAATATGTTAATTACTAGAATGAGCCAAAGCCTTGTATTTCAACTTCCAGATAATATGACAGGAACACTAATATGCATTAATACATGATTAATTACTTCATTATTAGTGCAAATTCATGTGCAAATTACTACAATTACTAAATGACTAGTTAATAATGATGTGCCCCAACAAGTAAAGTCATAACGTAATGATACCATTGCAAATAATTAATTAAATCAGACAACTGGAGGTTGAAGTGCATAGCTCAAATTTGGCTGGGTGGCTAATAACACATTTTTCTGTGGTGTGACAGACTCAGAACACATACTTAATTTTGACTTTACAGGGACTTTAACTCATGATTATCTGTGCATTAGTTAAGCATGAATTCATGCATATTAGTGCACCCGTATTGTAAAGTGTTACCGTTTTAGTCATGTGGTTAAAAAAAAAAGATGTTTCTCAGGTAATTATAATGTCAGCAACTGTAAGTAAAACATGTATTCTACTGATAAACATAGGGGCATGCAAATTGGCTGATATTCCAATGAAAAACAAATGTTTATAGTAAGAATACAGGTTATATGTACATTACACAATAAACAAGGCTAAAGTATATTGTGACTGATTTAATAATAGCGCTAGTAATTGGAAACACACACATGGAGTTTCCTAAGAATGAGTCAGTTTAAACAGTATTATTAACAAATTGTACGGTGTATATACATTTTAGTGTGAGGGCTCATAAATTGCATTTTATTAGGAAGGTGCTTCGTTATGTCTTGTACAGTAAGTGCTCCTAAAAGCCCATTTAGCGTAGTTAGTTTGTCTTCCAAAAAGCTTAGACCTTGACCTTGAAGAGTAAATATTATGTCTCCATGTCTCCAACTGATTTTTGATCGTGACCGTTACTAAGGAAAGACATTTTAAGGTATGCCTTTAGACAAGTTGTTGCATGGCATGCCATGTATCTGCATATGACAGTGACTCAGCAGGCTTTAGCAATATTTGAAGCATAACTCTACAGAAACGACATGACAAATAAATGTGTGTGTTTGTCAGACATGTGACCGTATCAAGCAGTCCGCCAGCGGTACGAAGCACCGTGTGTTCATCATCGAGACGATGGGGGGGTACTGTGGTTATCTGGCCAGTGTTGGTGGTCTAGCGGCTGGAGCGGACGCTGCATACATCTATGAGGAACCGTTTGACATCAGAGACCTACAGGTTACCAGCGCACACACGCCTCTAGTGTCCTAGTAATAAAATAAATGATGTGACATGATTCATAGATCATCACACATACAGTATGGTTATATAAACTTTGACTTAGTGCCAAGTTTAGTGTGCTTATTAAACAATCAACATGAGTGCCATCTGCTGGTTAAATGAAGGAACTGTTTTTCTCTTTATTTTAGTCGAATGTAGAGCACTTGACAGAGAAAATGAAGACCAGCATTCAGAGAGGACTAATCCTGAGGTATCTATCTATCTATCTATCTATCTATCTATCTATCTATCTATCTATCTATCTATCTATCTATCTATCTATCTATCTATCTATCTATCTACCTACCTACCTACCTACCTACCTACCTACCTACAGTACCTACCTACCTATCTATCTATCTATCTATCTATCTATCTATCTATCATTGACTTCATACTAAGCATACTACAAATCCATTAACATATTTATTGACTTGAGACTTACTGATATGATATAAAATTTTGAATTCAACTTTTTTTGGAGTTCTTCTTTATTGCACAATGCACATTTCTTATAAAATGTGTATTAATATCATTGTTAGTTAGGATTGATATGATCTTTGTATAATATCTGTCTTTAAATGTAAGATTTTTAAAGTTTACCTAAAGTATACTTGCAATAGTTCCACTTTAGCACAATCGAATATATTAAAGTATATATTTAGTTGGGCCTCAGCGCTCTTTCTAGATAACTTTAAGTACATTAAGTTCAAAATGAGTTGTTCCAGTTTAGTTTGCCAAAAGTACAATTGCAGGGTATTTATATTAAGTATATAATATATAAATGTTTTTGTAGTATACTTAAAAAAATACATAAAATAAATGCATTTCAAATCTATCTATCTATCTATCCATCCATCCATCCATCCATCCATCCATCCATCCATTTTCAAAATATATTACAGAGTAGCCATAATTTATCAATATAAAACAAGAATATTTTCATACTCATAAGGCGTGTTCAGACCTTTATTTTAAAATAGCAGTAAACATGAAAAATCATGAAAAAATGGTAGATACCTCAGTTTGTTTTCATGCCAAAAGTTCAAAAGATAGAATCCATTCAATTATTTTGGAAAAAAAAGGTCTGAAAAGTTTGAAATATCAAGAAAAAAATAATAAATTCACCATTTGTGACGTGGCAGCTAGCTATGACTTACATGCGTGTTCTTTGTATGTGTTTCTTAGAGGTTCAATTCATATCAAAATCTGCCAAACTTTCCATGATAGTTCTGAATAGGATCTCTACTTCAGAAATTGTATGAAAATTGTGAAAATAATGGTTCATATCACTCAAAACACGAATGGAAATGCAGGCGCCCTTATATGGGCAGTAATGGAGTCTGATTGTGCCCTAGTGAAAAAGTTTGGTACTGCGCTCAAACAAAATCTTACTGAAAGCTCATTTTTTGAGATATCAACCTAAAATTTGAAACACAACTTGTTCAGATTTTTGGCTTTGATCTTTCTGCCATTTTAGAGTAGCCCAGGTTTTGAAAATATATATTTTATGTAAAATATGAATAATTAATATTTTTACATTGTGCATTTCCATAAACTTAAACTTCTATAACTTTTTTTCTGTTTCACTTTCTTATTTTTTTTCACTTCTACAAAAATCTGCCAAATGTCTTCTTTAAAACAAGACCAATCATATGTCTATATTCCAAAGCATTCTTGAATTACAACCATTTAAGTTCGAAATGTGCATTTTCATGTCTATTCAAAAAAGGGGGGGTGACAGTTAACAGGTTAACACACATCAGGAGATGTTTCATCTCTTCTCAGCTCAGATGAGAGTATTTTGGGTCAGTGTGATTGAGATGTGTGAGCAGAGCCTCAGGCGCCCTATCAGTCACAACACACACTCCTCACTCAGCCAGTTTGTGTGTGTGTGTGCTTGTGTTCATGCAGGAATGAGAACAGTAATGAAAACTACACCACAGACTTCATCTATCAGCTCTATTCTGAGGAGGGCAGGGGAGTGTTTGACTGCAGGAAGAATGTTCTGGGTCACATGCAGCAGGTACTGCACATAACTCATTAATCACAGATCACAGTGGCCAACAGGAACCAGTTAACTCCAGTCTAATGAATCAATATTCTGGAGCAGACATACGGTTCCGTTTGCCTGCTAAATCAAGTAAAACGACCAAGAGTATTATGACTGCTTAATACAAGGACAGATTTAATCTAGAAACAGAAAGGGCCCTATCTTGCACCCGGCGCAAATGACTTTATACACTGACGCGTGTATCATTCCTATTTTGCACGCGTGCAAAGCGGGCTTTTCCCTCCACAGACGTACGTCGGTAAACTAGGGAATGAACTTGCGCTCTCTGGACGGTTCAGCGCAAAAAAAGGAGTCGTGTTTCGGCACAAACAATCCCTGGTGCCAGTGTTGTAGTCGAGACCACCTCACTCGAGTCCGAGTCGAGACCGAGACCGGAGAGAGTCGAGTCCGAGTCCATAGAGAGTCGAGTCCGAGTCGAGTCCGAGACCAGAGACGGTCGAGTCCGAGTCGAGACCGAGACCGGAGAGAGTCGAGTCCGAGTCCATAGAGAGTCGAGTCCGAGTCGAGTCCGAGACCAGAGACGGTCGAGTCCGAGTCGAGACCGAGACCAGTGAGGGTTGATTACCTAATTTACTTTTATTTACTTGAGAAATCCTTTTTTTATTTTACTGAATTTACTTAGAGTTTAAAAAATATGATCAGTTTAGGGTAAAAAGGCCACATAGTAGGTGGTGTTAAAAATAATTTTATTACAATTTGTCATGCGCAGTTGCGCACTAGAAAATCACCAATCACTGGGCGTGTCAATCAATTTAAAGAAATATTTTATTAACATACATTAATAATCATGAAAAATATTTTGAATTGAACTCGAGTGGACTCGGGAATAAGTCCGAGTCCTAAAAAAAAATAAAAATGTTCGAGTACGAGTCAATTCCGAGTCCAAATGGACACGAGTCCATGACAAGACCAAGACCGTTAAAATATGCTCTCGAGGCCGAGACGAGTCCGAGTCTCGAGTACTACAACACTGCCTGGTGCTGTTTTGCAGTTCCAGAAAACAATTGCGCCACTGACCAGAAAATACCTAGACTAAAGTCAGTGGCGCGTTGCGCGTACATTCAGATGCTATTTTAAGCGCGCATGCTTGGCAATAAAACAAAGTGTGAACAACGTGCATTAGGGGTGTAACGGTACACAAAAATCACGGTTCGGTACGTACCTCGGTTTTAAAGTCACGGTTCGGTACGTTTTCGATACAGCAACAAGAAAGAAATGCCAGAGAAATTTCCTATTTGTTTAAAGAAAAAATATTTTTAAATAAGTGTGAGTTTTCCTAGATCTTGAAACTTTCAGGTTTATAAATGGGGGTCATCTTTGAAGGATGAACAAATAATGTTTTGGTCATCACATTAAAAATAACTTTTAAATATATATTTATTTATATAATATTTGAATTTTGAAGTGCTGAAAAAAAAGATGTGTGAAGTACTTGAAAGCATTTCACCATTCCAGCCAAACTGGTTCCAGTTAGTGTTACTATATTAAATCCATGGTGAATGTTGCTGCAGGTCTGTGGACGAAAGTATTACTAGTTCATTCACGGCACAATGTTTCTCCTGGTTTCCATGACAGCGCTGTTTGATCTAATAGAGATCTACGGTTAATAACGTAGAAATATGAATGCATCTCACTAGATCTCGCAGCGATGTTATTACCTCAGTGGCGAATTCAAATGTTTTCTTTACCGGATCTCTTAGCGCGGTGTGGTAACAGTGTCACTTGATCGAGATCGGCTCGCGCTGCACAGATGTTGCTGGTCCGAACTGATAAACGATCCATGAAGCACATAACGAGTAGCGCGGTTTCGTTCTGCTTTCATCGGTTTCGTTACCCGTTACGCCCAAACCACACCTATAAATAATGAAGCTACTTCAGTCCAACCCCTTTTAGATTTGCGTTGAGCGCAAGAGGCATTTATCCCGCCGGTTAAATAGCAACAGTGCCGAGAAACGCCCACAAAGTTACTAGCGCTTTGCGCTTGACACTTGCGTTTTAGATCGTTAAAGTAGGGCCCAAAGAGTTTTGACACAATCAGTTTAGATCATACGTGTGCTGGATAACTGCATTTATACAGGAAGCATAAATTCGTTTGTAATATACAATACTATTTACAGAATATACAATATAAATAAATTAATATGTGTATACTGTATTTATTTTTCACTAGGGTGGTGCTCCTTCTCCATTTGACCGTAACTTTGGGACCAAAATCGCTGCTAAGGCCATGCAGTGGATCACCAAGAAACTGAACGAAAGCTACAGACAAGGTAGAAATCACAACAGTTATGAGTCATAATGAATTATCCTCCACCACTTGTCCTTCTTGTTGACCCGTTCTGTTGTACACAAGGCACTCAGTAACCGTCAGTGTTAGTGTAATCATGACTGCACACATACGCCACAGATCAGGCATTACTCATAGTTATTAAATATAGTCCTTGACCTTCATTTATTTGATTTTGAAATAATACTGTAGAGTCGCTGCATTTTTTTCAGCTAGTTTTGTGTGTGTGTTTGTGTGTGTGTGTGTGTGTGTTTACTTCTTTTGCTGTGCCTGTGGATGAATAAAGATGAAGGTAAAAATTTCAATTTTATTCAGTGTGATTTGGTGACCTCAGTGAAAGAATGTCCTTCAGGGTGTGTAATTGTAAATGTTAACTCTAAAGTTATATTCAAGTCTATATGGAAGCTTGTTTCGCCACGGAATACAAAAAATAAAAAGATAATTGTGACTTTTTTTTTCAAATTGTGAGTTTATCTCTCAAGGTACGTTCACACCGGACGCGAATAGCGCGTCAGGTGCGAATGATTTCAATGTTAAGTCTATGCAAAGATGCGTTATGCGCGTAAAAAATTCCTGCGGCACGAATGAGGCGTAGAGCTGGCGCGGTAGACGCGAATACGCCTCATTCAAGTTCGCACGAATTGAGCGTCTGCCGCGTTAAGCGTGAATGGTTTAGTTAGGGCTATTTGTACATTCATGCGTTTGACGCGAATTCGCGTCTGCCGCCCGAGTTGAAAAATCTGAACTTTGGCGTCAATTCGTGCCGCGTTAACCATTTAGGAGTCTATTCTGCACTCCAGAGTAAATACTGAGCAGTGACTCTCTCGATAAATGCTCGGTCGACATAAAAAAAATGGCCGCCAGGGGATTTCGATTCTGATGCGCGTAAATTTTGTTTCAAACTTTTGTTTTTTACTCGCGTCATGGATTCAAATTCGTCAAGCGTATAACTAAACGTGGTAGGCGCGAATTTGACGCGCTATTCGCGTCCGGTGTGAACGTAGCATCAGAATTCTCACTTTTTTTTCTTGCAAGCGCAAGTTTAAATCTCACAATTCTGATGTTTTCTCTGAATTTTTAAATATAAACTCGCAATTGCAAGAAAAAGAATTAACTTACAATTACATTTCACAATTTTTCACGAGTTTATATTTCACAATTCATATAACCCTGAAAAAAAAGTCTGAATTCGTTGATAAAAACAATTACATTTTTTTTTTTTTTTTTATCCTGTGGCAGAAACAAGCTTTCATAGGTTTATACATTTTATTTATTTATTTTTTGCGGATTTGTAATACATTTCTATTTATAGATACATTTTATTTATTTAATTATGTTTTATTGCAAATAGACCAGATAATTATTGTTAATGTTTGAATATAAATCATGCATTTATTTCTTATTTAATGATATAATGCAGTTATTTCTCATATGCAAACTGTGACATCATATCAGAATCTTTTTAACTCTTTCCCTGCCAGTGTTTTTTTGTTCGTTTTTTAAAGTTTGACTGTCAGCGCAAACATTTTTGATAATTTTCACGAAACTTTCATGGCCCCCAGAATATTTAGTATTAAAATAAAAATAAATATATTTAATATAAAAATATTGAGAATATTTTTTTTTTTTTTTTGGAGATTCTGTACTATTTCAGAAGGTGTGTATAGCGCCCCCTACCATATAACAGTGAAAACAAGGATCAACGGCAGGGAACGAGTTAACACTTCCTGCAGAAATGCTTCACAGTCTAATGAGAAGAGTGATTTTGTTAAACGTGTGTGTGTGTGTGTCCCGTAGGGAGAGTGTTTGCCAACACAGAGGACTCGGCCTGTTTGCTGGGTATGCGGCGTCGCGCTATGGTTTTCCAGCCTGTGGTTCAGCTGAAAGATGAGACTGACTTTGTGTATGTTCACACCACAATTCTTCCATAAGCCTGATGACATTTTTTTTTTTTTTTTTTTTTTTAATGAATAATATCTGGTTCTGTATGTTCAGTCACAGAATCCCTAAGGAACAGTGGTGGCTGAAGTTACGTCCACTCATGAAAATCCTAGCCAAGTACAAGACCAGCTACGACGTGTCAGACTCGGGACAGCTGGAACACGTGGCCCTGAACCGACCCAGAGAGTCTGAGGCCACGGCTGCCATTTAAACTCATCCAAATATCGGCGGCGTTCAAAGGTCACGCTTCAGACGGGCCTGTCTGTCCCGCGAGCGCTGTCGCCGACACTTTAGTTCTCCGGGCCCGCTTTTTTGTTTGTTTTTGTCATCGCTGTGTTGGAAAAATGTCACCCTTTGTTATTTTACAGAAATCAGTGTTAATCGTAGGAGAGTGTAAAGTTTGGTTTGACTGTGTTATGCCCTCGCTCTCTCTCCTGTTGACGGATTCGCTGTCACCCCACCATATCTGCAGTAGTGTTACGCTTCAAAGCACATTTCTCTCTCTGAAGTTCTCAGAAAGAAGGAAAAATCCCACTTTTCGGTGTCAAGCGCTGTAAGTCCACATTGCTAGAGCACCGTTTGATGTTTGAATGTATTGCATCATCAAGTGTTAACATTTGCCTGACCAATAAAGACCACAATCACAAAGTGTGAAAATCAATGTCTGCTGTTTAATTTTACAGTTTAACATTTTTACCACGAACATATGCCACCCAGTTTTTTTTTTTACTTGCGTCATGTGCCATTGAGTACCATGTAATGAAAACAGTGTAGAGTAGTGATTGGTGGGTCGGTTCATTTTGAACGAATCTTTAATATGACTACAGAGTTGTCTCAGAGAGTGATTCGTTCATTTTCATTCGTTCATTTCGTTCAGTTTTTTTTTTTTTTTTTTGAAGTGAACTATCCTAATTGTATCAATTACGTCGTTATGCCACAAGGGGGCGACAACTGACTGTTAACAAAAATGTATTTGTCATTGAATCATTCATTCAACAGATTTTTTTTTCAAACAAGTGAAGTATTTGAGTGAGTCATTGAATCATTCATTCATTCATGGTGGGAGAATCATGATCGCTGTTTCAATTCAAACTAAAAAATCGTAATTCTCAATTTATTCTGTGGTATAATGTGGTACAGTATGTATTGTGGTATACAAATACCACGATGATGGTATAGTAATGGACGGTTTCAAACATTGCTTCATGAACTGCCAAAGTCAAGGGATTTCAGTAAACAAATTTCTAAACCGATTCGAAACATCTCAAAATGTCAATGGTTCTCCACTAGGGGGCGATGATCTCTGAGAACCCATGAACCAACGTCTATATGGTTTTTACTTGATCTCGGCATTTGTTAACATTATAATGACATATTTGTGAAAATGAAAAGGAAAAGTTTTTAGTCTCTTATTAGCCTGTTTAACCGATTTAATTAAACAACACATTATACAGACACTTCGATATTTAATGGTATACGATGATTGCACATTGATTACACATTCAATATAACATTTGCAGTTGGTTTGTAAAAAAGTGTTTGGGTTTCGAGTTCTGAGTTTAGTTGCATTTACGATTCAAGTGCCTCCAAACAGTGGATCATTTTGCGACGCAATTGATTCAAAGCTTCGTTTCTCCCGTCACTACCATGGCATTTGAAAATGGCAATATTTCTGTACAATGGTACAATGCTGAATGAAAATTCACAGGGGATTGGGGCAAAATTGACTACATTAAAATGTCGAGGCTGCTCTCTCCGGGGCTCTATTTCCTTTTTTCTTCACACTCTGAAAGAAAGTGACCTTCAATGGCCGGTTTCTCACAATATAGCCAATTATTACTGATATAGCTTTAATGGCATCATCAAACGAGGAATACGAGACAAACCTACGAGTCAGTTCTTCAACATTTGTGCTGGAAACATCCCAACACAGCTCCTCACTGCCCAGGCTGTACGGCAGGATTACACACACACACATAAAGTCTGTTGTATTTCTTTAGAGGACTGGCATTTCACTTCCTCTAATGGCTTCCTATAGCTTCTTAATTTCCATCTCAGCGGCCTTGAGTGTGGCATAATGGACCAGACCATAGCCTTTAGCTTCTCCATTAATGTCACACACCATTCTGCTCAACGTCCCCAAAGCAAGAGAAAGTGTCGTAAAAAGCCAATGTCTCTTTACTTTACTATGTAATGTAAATTACATAAGTAATTTAAGTAATAATAATTACTAATAAATTAATAATAATTAAATTAATAATTAAATTAATAATTATAATTAAATTAATAATAATTAATTATAGTAATAAGTAATTTAAGTAATGTCTCTTTACTTGCTAAGCCCTTAAATGGATACTTCAGGATTTAGCATTAAGCTTTGTATTAGTAGAAAACCTGTAGTATTTTCGAATTACCATGCTTTCCACTCTCATACAACAGACTGCGCTCTGTTACCGGTGGGCGTGGCCTCCTAGGGCAGCGAAGCAAGTGCATTCTGGGAGTTGTTGTCTTTCATCCACATAAGCCAAAAATACATTTTCTGGCTTTTCTCAGTCTAGAAAGAATAATTTCACATTTCTTCTACATGAATGCCCCATTTTAAATACACATCAATCTTTCCAGAGGTCAAGTATCCCTTTAATAATTATGTTACCAATTCCACTTTTTCTCACATGCAGTGGAATCATGTTGGGCCCAAGGTGTTTTCCACAATATTACAGGTTTACATTAGATCAAAAATTGTCAAAATTGTCTGTTTTTTTGCTGTATTTATTCAATGAAAATAGTTCCGAACAAAAGCACAGCCGAAGCTCTGTGTCTCTGAGCAACACAGACTGGTGTGTCATTACCGAATGAATCCGTGTTTTTATAATCTCATTATATTATTTATGCAAATTTAATTGCAGTGTTAATACATTCGTGTCACCTCTGAGCTGCATTAAACATTGTGTGTAAAAACATCAAAATGCCACTTCAGAGTGAGTGCCTGTGCTTCTGTATTTCATTGCATTAGAAACAGCATTTAAATTATTTAAATAAATCAATAAAATAGAAAAAAGCTCTCTTCTCAGTCTAATTATTTCACCTATTTATTTAATTTAAGATTTTTTTTTCATAAAATTTTATACATTTAATTATATATATTTTTTTTCTTATAATAGTAATAATTGCCTTAGGAAATCTAAATTAAGGGGCAAATATCGCCTCTTAATAAAAAAGGAATTTATCACTGGCTGAAAGCAACAAAAAATTAAATAAATAATAACAATATTTTTTTTTGAAAACAGGTAACAATTTTGACGTTTTGTAAGAAATTTTTAGATTTAAGATATTTTATCTCATGGAGCACTCGTGCCTCTCGGTACTTCAGATCTTTGGAAAGTGACATCATTTCCTGTATCTTCCATAGTTATGGGAGATAATTCCACCAATTTAAAGGCAGAGTAAGGTATGGTAACAGAATTGAAGCAAGATTTCTGCACACACATTTTTGTAAGATAAAAGTTATTTTTAAACAATTTAATTTAGAATTAGATAAAATGGCTATTACGGGCTTTTATTAATCAAATAAATGCAATATTACCAAAATATTTTCATAATACGAAACATGATGGAAAAATACATTGGCTAATTCGGACAAGAAGAAATCATGATTTTCATGTAAGACACTTTTTACAAAGAAATATTATATTGTTAAGGCCTGTAACATCTTGTGATCCATGACAATGAGTAACAAATTATTAAAGTAATTAAAAATAGAACCATTTAAAAAAAGCTTTGGACACCAAACACACCTGCGTTGTGCCTTTATAAATATTGTCTCCATCTAATCATAGTAACCATTAAAACCAATCCACATTCAGTAACTTAAAAGCGTTGGCTAACTTACTTGTGGACAAAAGGTGAAGAGAAACTCAATTTTAGCTAAAATGTCAATTCAATCCAAACGATTCAAGTCTCAAACCATGTAGACTAAATGACAAGGCCATACAGTTGTCTTAAAAGAGAGTAAGTAAGCACGTTAGATGAAATAGGACTCGTGTGCATGGTGATGCGGTTAAGTTATACGTCATTATATACGGCGATTATATTGGGATTACCGGCAAATACAGACTATAAGAATCAACAAACCTGCTGAACTTATTTAATTTATCCATCATGGCAATATAGCTATTTATTGTCCTTGTTATATGTCTCCAAATGACTGTGGGAACTTTAATATGCACTTTATTTTTACTGAACCTGCACTGTTGTAACATGTGCTCTTAAAATGTTCACAGTATGTTTATTAACCAAATCCATTCCCTTCTCAAATCCAGTGTGAAATAAAAAAAGACATTTGAACTTGGGCCAGTTTCATATATGAATCAGAACATTTTGAAACAAAACAATTTACGTTGACAATTCAGTTTACGCAGGCCGTATTATAAAGCCTATTAAAACGATTATAATACTATAACATCATGCTACAGTGATGCGATTCTCTGTGCATCCGGTAGGGGGCAGCAGTGCATCACCACACTAACTGAGCCGGGAGCACGTGTTCTGCAGCATGGTCACTCATGCTTCTGTCAGACACACACACACACACACTCTTCATCATGAAGCATGTGTACTCATGACATGTGTGCAGGATTTGTTCGTAAAGACAGATCACATTCCCAACTGAGAATCATAATCTTGCTAAAATCAAGTACAATACAATGCCCAAAGTACCAAACTTGACCAATAAATCCAGTGCATGTTCAAAACACAAACTAAAGGTTAGGTAATTCATCACAAGTCTTACGTTTTCTTTTTTTTTTTCTTAAAGTGAGCATGGAGGCATTTCATAGTCCTAGCCACACACACACTCTCGCTTACACGTACAAAAATTAGCAAATCCAATTATTTAAGTTGATTTAAGTATGCAAAGCCAGGCCTGTGGGGTCATACGCACATAGGTAATCAATAGCAATTACCATTTCATTTCTCCCTTGTTATTTCCTTCCGTCTTAAATCAGAATCTGATCTCATCTGACTGATTAAGCCTCGGTCCGTATCAAGCTCAGATGTGTGGAGTTGCCTGACTTTAACTTCATTTCATACATCACTCCTCTTAAACACAGCGCTCCAATTAAACTCAGGCCTGGATCATTCTAATGCCCCGGAAAATAGACCATTTTCATTAAAGAGACGCTTAATTCAGTCGATGTGGGGTCCCAGAATGCTTTGTGCTGCAGATTTCTGCCTTTGATTCCACACTTATATGGATTTCTGGAGAAAGATGTATGATCCCGAATGATATTCCTGTGCAGTAAATAGTGAACGCCCATAGTGGTAAAAATAGATTACTTGAAAGCTACTGCGATAACAATGGTAATGAGAGACGATAAATCTCGGTGTGTAATATTAGAAAAGCAATATTTCTCTTTCAAATAAATCATGTGTGTGTGTGTGACATATGTGGAGGATGAATATTTATGAATGAATAAATCCATGAAGAAATAAACTGGCGTAATGTTCCAGCTTTTGCAGCTCGATAAAACGTGAATGATGAATGTGGGACTTTTTGAAGCTTTTTTTTTTTTTTTTACAGGCAGATTGAACAAATCTCTGCTGTGCTGTACTGTACTGTACAGTATCTGACGCTGGATGTTTCATTGATTAAGGGCTGT